CAAGGCAGCATTAAAATGCACAGGCTGACTTCCTGCCAGTTCAGTGGGCTACAAGATAGGAGACCTGGAGCTCCGAGCCTATCCCAGCCCTGGCTCACTATCCATAGCCTCTGTCAGTTGCTTCAGGGTCTTGGTCTCTTCCAGGATTTATCCACTGCTATCTCCCCAACCCCCTTCCTATGGCATTTACTCCTGGCTCATCATAAGATACTGAAATTACAGTGCAATAGACAATATGCTATAATATGTCCCGTAATGATTAAAGATGGAGGTTCTGCAGTCACGTGGCTTTATAGTGTTGAGGAAGTTATCTAATTCTCTTTTTAAGTTTCCACATTCAAAACATAAGGATAGTGGGGGGCAAAATCCCTCCCCACCCCCAGTTGAGAATCACCTATATCATATGTATTGACATTGTAATGACCCTGACTTGAGGGCAATTGAGATAAAGCAACTTAATATTAGCAATTAAAAAACAACACTGTATGTGAAGGTATAAATAGACATGTGACAGGCAAGGACAGATAAAAACCTGACTGCTGAGAGGCCCCTGCTGAATGAGAGTTACTAGATGGTCCTTATTACATGCCTCTGAGAAGTGGTATAAATATAGGCAACAAATTTGAGGCAATTTGAGGTGTTTTGGACTCCATGTCCATAGTCCTAAACTCTAGATTTTGGTGAGCCATCTAGTACTCTTGCTCTGAGAAGTGGCCCTCGGTTTCTCTACAGAGATACAGACCCCAGAAACTCCAGACTGGTCCCTTGAGCTCTGTGTTGCCAGTCTTCAGAAGTTTGCCAAGAAGCTTGTAACCTTCCCCCACTTTAGTTTCAACTGAAATGTATACTTTTATTTTTGTCATGTGGATTTCCACAATAAATTCATACTGTGATCATTTGCAAAAAAAAAATAAATAAAAATAAATTTCATCCCAAATAAACGAAAAGTCAGATACTATTATCTCTACCCTCATAAGATTGTGCAAAACCTAAGTACAACAATATATGTATTGTGTGCTCACTGCTACCTGACTGATAGTAGATGTTAGCTATTATCATGGCTTTATTTGTGGGAAATATTTATTCATATTTCCTATGCACTATTAAATAGTGAGCAAGACAGAAAAAATAGTGAGCAAGACAGAAAAAGCCCCTGCTATTGAGGCAGAAATTGTCCTCTAATCATTTTAGCTTATTATTGCTTTGACTGTTTTATCCGCATACTGTTTCAGGGGACTCTACTGGATATTTCTTGAGGTGCTGTGCTTTTGTGTTTTAAATGACAGGCTATGGAAGCAATGATACAGCTTTTCACCTTTCTGTTAACCCACTATACAGGACCATTTACTTGGTTTGAGAACTTTATTTTCTTGGTTTGAGACCTCAACAATCAATTAACCCAGGAGAACCCATTTGTTTCCAACTATATGCTTAGCTCTTTGCCAGGGCTCTAAGCAAGTTGAAAAGATGGTCAACTAATATTTGTAGAGAAAAGACCAAAGATTTTGGGATAAAAGTGAAAAGAAATTAATGATTTAATTAAAAACTAAATTTTAATCTGGTAATTGACAGTGATTCTACTCTAGTTTACAGGCTTTTATGATTGATAAGGTTTTGACAATTTAGGAATTTCATACATGGAAGGAGAAACTGAACTAAAATCTTGAAAGATTTGCATGGCTGGAGAAGATTAAGAGAAATTTCTGGAAGCTTGGAACAATATATGGAAGTGAAAATGAAGATAAACATTACACTGTATTCACTTTATGTTGCAACAATAGGACATAAGAGGACCCCATAAATGCTTATAGAAATGGGAGTCTCAGGAGAATAGGTTTGATGAGAAAGATACACATTTTGAAGAAGAAACCAACAGGATTTACTTACAGGAAAATAATCAAGCCTTTACAGTTTCAAAGTGATTTCTCAACCCTATCTCCTGCTGGTGTTCCTTGTCAAAGAATCTGTGCCAGGTTCAGCCACAGTTCTTTACTCTGTCATACCAATATTCTTATGATGGCCAATATTTTAGTGATCCCTCAAATGAAATTCATTACAATTTCAATATATTTGCATAGATGATTTTGAAAATATCAACATAATGCTTTATTGTAATTAAAGGAAATTTCAAAGAAAGGAGTTAATGTTAAATATATCAATATATAAAAACCCAGACATGACCACAGCAGAGATGTAAAGGAGTAGTCAGATATGCAGGCAGTAATCCAGACCCATAATGGTGTGTTGTGTTAGTAACTCACAGAGTACAGGTGACATACCCTTCAGATGTGATTCTCCAAAATGGTGGGTGACACTTGGTAAAGTCCCAGACAGAATGAAGTACCAATTTCCCTAAGTTATTCAGTAATTGCTTTCCCAAGAGAACTCACAACTGAGTATATAAAAACCATGCAAAACTACTTTGCTATGTAATTGATACAGCGTTAAGTTCTGTGCTCAAGAAAATATAAATAGGTGTCACAACAAAGATGTCCGTTAGCACTTTGGAAAGTCTTGTAGGATGTGGGATCGCTTTTTCATTGTGCAGGATTGAGGCAATGCTGGACATCTTTTATCTCTGTCCCCCAGTCATTAGATGCCAAAAGTAATATCCCCATCACTGTGACAACCAAGAGTGCCTACACTATCCACAGCCTCCACTTGAGCAGCACCTTCCATCCTGAGAACTGCTGGATGTTGGTTCTTAGGTGTCAGCCACGTGACTCAACGGTGGTGACAGACTGGAAAGCTGGCAGGGGGAGGCTCTGGATGTGTCAGCCCAGAAAAGTGTTGGCTGCAGTGTTTTCTTCTTCACTCCGGGAGAGCCTTTAATTTCTTATATACTTCAAATTTGGCTTTTCCTTCCTGGTGACAGTTTCAAGTTTTGAGCCCAGGTAGAAGACAGACTGAGGGAAAAGAGATGCTTTTATTTTTTTTTAGGGATAAATATAAACCTTTTTTGACTAAGAACCAACCAGTCCACTCTAATTCCCTGCCCTCTCTAATGGATCATAGGTAGGAATTATTTTGTCTCAAGATTTTAAGAGAAATCTAGTTCTAACATGAATCCTTGAAACATTTCTTTCTAAAGATTTTTTTATTTACACAAGAACTGGGGTACAGGGTGTGAGGGGTGAGAGGATTCACCAGAGACAGAGCAGGGAGCAGAACAGGCAGACGGACTGAAAACACTGCTGAGGCGAGCAGCGGGTGAGACAGGAGAGGTCTGCCGCGCCAATCCTTGAAACATTTTTGAAACTTAATTCTTGTTTCCTTTAAATTACAGGTCTGATCTCATTCCAGTTTTTTTCGGTTTTGTAAAGTATGCAATAATGTCTAATCCATCTTGGTATTTGCATTTTGCAGAACTGGATTTATTGGGCAGATGTGCCTGATTGTCTAGTATTAGCACTCTGCATGTTGCCTTCTGCTTAGGAGACTTAAAACAAACAACTCAAAGGGCCTGATTCCCTGAGAGTACCCTCCAGAAGATTTTAAAACTTAGATTTTCGTTTAAACATGATGGTATACACACACCCTTCTTTCACAAATATAAATGTGCTGTATTAATTTGTAAGTAGTCGTTTGGCCCACAGATATTGAGTATACCTCACATGCATGCCAATTTATGATATTCCAAGAATATGTCTGTTTTCAGCCTTATTCCAGGAAAATGTTTATCAGTTTGTCAATCAAATGCATACTAGTAGCAAATCAGTCAACATAAAATCTTGGCCAGAAAACATGTTTGTCTCTTGAAGACATTTCTGCACCCCTATTTTCATTGCAGCGTTATTCACTTTAGCCAAAATATGTAAACAACCCAAGAGCCTGTAGGAGCTGATAAATGGATAAAGAAATATGTATATACACAAATATATGTAAATACAATGTAATAGTAATCAACCATAAAAATGACAGAAATTCTGCCTTTTGTGACATGAATGGACCTTGAAGACATTATACTGAAGTGAAATCACTGAGATAGAAAAAGACAAATACTGTTTGTTCTCACTTATATGTGGAATCTAAAAAAACTGAATTCATAGGGAAAGAGAAGAATAGTTGACTTACAGGGATGGGGGCTGTGGGTTGAGACAGGGGAGGTATTGGTCAAATGGTACAAACTCCCAACTCTAAGAATAGGTTCTGAACATCTAATGGACGGCTGGGTGCTACAGATACAATGCCATACTATGTACTTGAACATTGGCAAGAGAGTAACTTATTATCACTACACAATAAAGGGATGGAGGTGTATGGAATTGTCACATTAATTGTAACAACGATTTGTACTTCTTCAAAATTGCAAACATCTCTATAGAGCAATAATTAGTCCCCCAAGAAGTTTTTGTAACAACAGAAAGGATTGGGGGTTGAGGGGACCCGGCAAAATTTCTGGAAAAAGAGTATGAAAGTATTTGTTGCCAAATATCGGTGCTTTTTGATGCTTCAAAATTTCTAACATTTGAATACCTGTATTTGAATATATTAATTTGCAGCTCAATCTTTATTTTGACCAAATTGTCATGCTTATCAACATGTATCCAGTCTCATACTTTTCAGCCAATGCTTAAGCTAATATCCCAGCTCCTGCCTCCATCTTCCATCCTGGTACCTGTAGCTTTGGATAAAATTCAGACTGAAATCTAGTGGTGAAGAAGTAGCTGTGATGTTGTCAAAGGGAACCAAAATAGAACCTACAGAAAAATCTTTACCTTTAGCTCTGGTTGTCAAAGCTCAAGCACTAAAAATTGCAACATTCCCCTCTAAGAGACAGCTTTAAAAAGAAAATCAAATTTGTTGTACTAAATTATAGCATTACATCTCTAAAGTCCAGGAGCCATCCAGAAATTAAATGTGAATATCTTCTTCCCAGCAAATCCAGCCAGGCTCACCATCACGAATGGGTTCACTAATGGGATAAAGTGCTTCTTAACATTATGTTTGTTTGTTTTTTTAAAGACAGCCATTTAGAATGTACTCTTTCCTTGCAACAGGACAGCTGGGAAGTGGTGGAAGGACTGAGAGGAGAGATGAATTACACCCAGGAGCCGCCAGTTCAGAAAGGATTTTTGCTGAAAAAGAGGAAATGGCCCTTGAAAGGCTGGCACAAGGTAAGACATTGGCCTCGGCCTCTTCTGTGCCCCCACTCCACCCCACTCGGTGCTTGACTCTGGGTGCTTACATTTAATTTGAAGTTGAAAATTGAGACCTCTGGAAGGATTCTTAAATGAACTATCTTAAGGAATGAATACTTTCTCCCCCACAGAGATTCTTCTATCTGGACAAAGGAATCTTGAAATACGCCAAGAGCCAAACTGATGTAAGTCTTCCTATTTCCACATACTGCTGGAGAGTCCTGAAGGGCTAATTGCTATCAGCTTTCGGGTGTGATAGTGCACGTTGGGGAATGACCTTTCTCTGAACCGGAGACCTCAGAGGGGTTATAGTGTCTGCACATTGGACAGCAGAGCCTGCTCCTCTCTGTCCCACTTCTGGGTAGTAAGTGGCTCAGTTTACTCCCAAGTAGAGGTGGGGAAGCGAGGCACCTCTCAGTACCCCCTGGGTATCCAGGAGTCTATTCTCTTAAGGTTGTGCTGAGGGGTTCTCTAGGTGGGAGAAGACGACATCTTTGCAATGAGATCACTGGAACAATACATAAGGCAAGTGTCTCTCCACAGTGACTGGGGGGGCTCGATGGAGAAGCCCTTGGTGGAGGTGAGGTGATGTTCCCCTTTGCATTAACTCTAGGCTGACAGTCCATGAGGGCTCTGAGTATTAGCCCTGCCGCTTTCATGGGGTCCTTTTCTCACCTGGCACTACTCTCCTCCTTCCTCTCTCCCCTTGCCTCTCATAATACACATCTAGTAAGGCAGCAGGTGGAAAACTTGGCACGGTGCCTGACCTTCAGTAACCTGCCTTCACTTCCGCCCCACTCCTCTTTTTAAATCACTTCTAAGTGAATGGAGATAAGAGAAGTGAATTCAGTGGGAGGCAGTGTGGTGTTAACGTGGATTCACTGCTGTGGGAGTTTGTCTGTGGGACTTATTTCTGGCTTCCTTAGTGTGGTGTAAACTGCTGGTTATGTGACTCTGTACCTCAGTCTCTTCACCTGTAAAATGGAGAAAGTGCTCCTGCCTCAGAGGTTAGTTAAGATAATGCATGTGCTGCCCATCAGTCAGTGCTGGCTCACGCTAAGCGCTCAGTCAGTCATAGTTCTGTGTTTACTGTTGGTGGAAGGTGAGGCCGAGGAAGGGAGTGTCAAGGATGCTACCGCTATTTTTAAACCCCGGTTCTCAAGCAGCCCTCGTGTGTCCCTGCAGATAGAGAGAGAGAAGCTGCATGGCTGCATTGATGTCGGGCTCTCGGTGATGTCTGTGAAAAAGTCATCAAAATGCATCGACCTGGATACCGAGGAGCACATCTACCACCTGAAGGTGAGACAGCTTCCCGGGCCTGGCTCCCGCGGCACAGCTCCTTTCTGTTGTACTGTTGGTGGCACTTTTGAGTATTTAAAAACATCCAGCTAAGACGGAGCTCTTCACTAGGAAAGTACTTCTAATGGACACCGTTGATATTTGGATGAGACAGTTCTTCACCTTGCAGGACTTTCTCTCACTCCTCTGAAACTTAGCATCCTTGTCCCTGCTTTTCCCCCCAAATGCCCCTCCCTGTGACTGTGACAGTAATCAAGGGTGACTCGTGCAGTGCCATCTTTACTGAAGAAACTTTTACCACGGGTTAAAATATGTTGCCTGAAATAGGATACAATATTTAGTCAGTCTTAAAGTTTCGCTAATTTTATAGGATTCATTTTAAATTCCCCCATTACAGTGAATGTCCGGGATTTTTTTCCCCTAAAATATGACCTCCAAATAGAACCTCTCACAACTGCATAACTATTCTCTTCTGCCCTCTCCTACAAGTGACATAAAGGTGCTCTATGAAAGTGCTTTGAGACCAGCTCTTGTTCACATCTTCACCTGGCTGGGTCAGGTGCCCTTTGGCAAATTATTTAATCCCTGAAACTCTTAGTTTTCTCACTGCCTCCACTCCCCAATGGGAGTCGTTATAGTGCTCATCTTGCCTGGCTGCCGTAGAAAACTTGGCATAATGCCCAGCCCACAGTAAGCTCATAAATGCAGCTATTGTATATAATAATTAGGTTGTATCCAAATGTTAGGCAAATAACTTGGGGTTTTGGGAGTGGGAGCTGAGGGTTGGGGTAAAAAAGCAAGATATATGGGCTACATGTGTTTTTGTTTTTTTTTATTGAGATAGCATTGGTCTATAAGACCGTATATGATTCAGGAGTATAGGTTTATACCTCCTCTGATGTATGTCACCACACCTTGCTATCAAAGCACCCACAATCCTTTACTCTAGACCACTGGGTCTCCTCCCTGCTTTTGTCCCACACTCTGTCTCCCTCCTTCTCTAGTAGCCTCAATTCTACTATCATATACCTAGAGTTTGTTTTTATTTCGTTTTGTCAGTTTCTTTGTTTTATTTCTCTATATTCTAAATGTGAGTGAAATCATTCAGTGTTTGTCTTTCTTCTTCTGACATATTTCATTTAGCAAAATCTCCTCCAGTATATCCATGTTGTCACACATGGCAAGATTTCTTATTTTTGATAGCTGAGTAGTATTCCACTGTGTATATATACCACATCTTCTAAATCCACTCCTCTGTTGTTGGGCACTTAGATTGTTCCCTAACTTGGATATTGTAAATAGTGCTGCAGTGAACACAGGAGTGCATATATGTGCATATATGCCTTCAAATTAGTTATTTTTGCATCTGTGAGTAAATAGATAGGAATAGAATTGTTGGGTCATATGGTAGATCTATTTTGAGAAACAGCTATGCTTTTTTCCATAGGGACTGTACCCATTCTACATTCCTACCACAGTGGATGAAGGTTCCTTTTTCTCCACACCCTAGCCAACACTTGTTGTTTCTGCTATTTTTTGATATAGACCATTCTCACAGGAATGAGGTAGTATCTATAAGCTCCATGTCTTAAGATGTTCCTTAGCTTATGTGGTGCTTGGGCAGATACATGTGGTTGGTTGGCTGGGTAAGACTGTCAAATTCGTGCTATTTCCTAGGTTAAGCCCCTGTACCTGTGACTGCAGTTAATTTTGCAAAGCAGGGTTTCTTGCCCTTTGCACTACTGATGTGGGGCAGGAGAATTCTTGGCTGTGGGGGCCTGTTCTTTGTACTACAGGATGTTCGACTTTGTACTTAGCCTCAACCCACTAGATGCCAGTAACAACCCTTCCTGTCAAAAGGAGAAAGACAAATACCAGATAATGTCATTCACATGTGGAATATAGAAAACAAAAACAAACCTTAAAATGTCTCCAGACAATGCCACATGTTTCCTACAAGAGTATATAATAATTACCTCTGGTTGAGCAACTACTGTGAAATAAAGGAGAGAGAAGCCTATATTTAAAAAAAAAAAAAAGAAAAGAAAAAGATTTAAGAAAGACCCCTCCCTCCCCCCATGGCCATTCTCTAGAATAATTTAGGTTACTTCTTCCAATGACTCAATCTGTGTTTTTGACATAGTCAGGAAATAATAATAGGTTCTTATTTCTCCATTATTCTACTTAACATAATAAACGTAATTTATTATTTCTAATTTTTAAACAACTTGAAAGCCTTAAAATACACTGAATATGAATATAGTGATAAACACAATTTAGTATTTCTCTGTGTTGATCCATTTCAAGTTCTGTTTGTGTTTTTGTTCATTGATTTGAATATCAGTTATGGCTGTCAGTGTAGTTTCATGCAGTCATATGAGGGTCCTGGCAGATAGCTTCAGCGTCGGGCTGTTTTTCAATATCGACCATCCAGTCATACTCTTATTATTAAAATGTGGAATATCAGCAGCAGAGAGGTTAAGTGACAGGCCATTGTAGCCCTATAACCACTTTAGGGACTGGAGCAGAAGCCTGGTCAGTTATTTAATAAAATGCTTTTATTCTCCTACCTTGTTTAACTCAATTTAAAAAAAAAAAGTTAAGATGAATGCTTTGGGCACTGATTCTTAAGGGCCTCAGAGAGGAGATCAGTGCAAAGGATGATACAAGATTCCTGTAAAATTCCCACCAGCCACATCTGGGAAATGAAATACATTTCAGAACATAATTTAGGGAAGACAAATAGATGTGAGTCTGTTTGTGTTGCCTCTTCCTGTAAATGACACATTCAGTAGCACCAGGAAGTGTTATAAGTCTTCTATGAACTTCTAATCAATACGAGAAACGTTAAGAGCCAACCTAACAATTCCTAAATGAATGATGCAGCTGACATTTATTTCTACATCCTTGCTCTCAGCTTTGGCATTAGTAAAGGTTTTAACAGGATTGACCTGGATTTTTTTTCTTGGAAGTTTACCAGCCACATGTCCTTTTGGGTTATTTTAAATAGCTACTTTATGAGTCTCTAAGTTCTAAAATACAAGTATCTACATCTTTCATTTAGAAAATATTCATATGCCCTCATACACACACAAATATTGAGTATTAAGAAATATCTACAGTGTTTTATATACTTTTTAGTACTTTTATGAACATTTGCAATATTTTATAATAAAAGTTACTAGTTAAACATTATTCTTCATGGAAATCAGACCTTTGTAGTCATTCATTGATGGAGAGAATGGTTCTCTGTGTGTGTGTGTGTGTGTGTGTGTGTGTGTGTTTAAAATTCCTGGAAATCACCAATAATATTTTATCAGAAATATTCTTTTAAATAACCTTAACATTCATTAACATATATTCCTCAGCTATATGTAATCTTTGTCGAGAAGATTAACAAGGTTAAATATTTTAGGAAGAATTTACTAATTCATTCCAGTTCAGAGAATATTGAGCTGAAGAATCTGAATTATGAAAGAGTTTAAAAAGAAAATTGTGCCAGTATTTTTAAAAAGATAGAAGAAATGGGGACAAGAGAAAGTTTGAAATGCTTTAAGAGACAGATAAATATAAATTTTAGTTTGTTGTTGGCTTCCTTAGAAACAGCATAGCAGTTGGACCCTTGCTTTCATAGAAACCTAAATAATAGCTTATGAAGACAATTTTTACTCTCCACCTCCTCCTCAAACTTGTTCCTAGAGACCACATGTATGTAAATTAAGCCAATAAAATATTTCTACATATGCCAGTGTGAAGCGAGGGGGCTGTCAGGGATGCCCAAAATTTAATGAATAATTATTCCTTTCAGTGAATGATGCTCTTGTTTCCTTCTTTCAATTTAACACAACTCAGGTCAAGTCAGAAGACGTCTTTGATGAATGGGTATCCAGACTCCGCCACCACAGAATGTACCGTCAGAATGAAATCGCCATGTTTCCACATGAAGTTAATCACTTTTTCCCAGGAACCACAGTCACAGATGGTGCATCTGGGCTCCTGGACTCCATTTCAAGTAGGAAGGTAACAATTTGTCAATAATAAACCTAAAAGAAAGTGATGGCTTTGTGTTGTGGGAGGCCTCCTGGGAGGCTGTGTCTGAGAAAGGGAAGCTTATGGAAAGGAACAAGGTAAGTTTTAGTTGCTATTTAGTGTCTTTGCCCAGTCAGTCAGAACCAGGGCCAGAGGAGCATGTATTAACATTGGACTGTAACTGGAAGAATAGCGTGTAAGGTGGAATGTAATATTCCTGACAATTCCAGCTTTCTCTTGGCCAGTAAGACTTGGTTTTCTTATGTGGGTGTAAAATGTAGTAGGTATGTTTATAGCAATGCATGATTGCAAAATATTTCCCAACATTTATATTGTTATTCTGCCATTATTATCATTTGACGTAAGTAGAAATTAAGGGCTGCAGTACCAGGCCTCACAGCATGGTACAGGTAAGCTGCAGTGACAGCCAGAGGCCTTGGGGTCTCCGGTGGAAATGCTTTGCTAGAAACTTCTTCCTCATTATAGGCAGATGGCTTCCATTAGCCACTAGCCCATTTTGTTACCCTTTACCCTAAAGTGTTCCTACTGGGCTCTGTTTGCATTTATAATGTACTTTTGTCATCTGTGAAACAGCGCAGCAGCATATCAAAGCAGAATTCGTTTCAAACTGGAAGCAATTTGTCATTTTCTTGTGGTGGTGAGTCTCGAGTTCCATTATGGTTACAGTCTTCAGAGGACATGGAAAAATGCTCAAAAGGTAGAGTGACTTGAAATCTCTGCTTCTTTTTGTCACGGCTCATAAATTACACTGGTTTGGTGTTTACACCTCAGATGAATTTGCACCTTTCTCCTTCACTGGTACACACTCCTGTGCATTCTTGTTTATTAAGTTTGCACTTGTGATTAACAAAGATACTCCTTGCAAACCTTCACACCTTCACCTGGATGTTCAGGCAGACATGTTTGCTTTTTTGTTGTTGAAGTTCTGATGCCTGATTTCCACATAGGGCTGCTAAATCACAATCTCCCGAGGTGGGGTCTGCTCAACAATTCAATTTTTTTTTAACTCTCAATTTTTTTAAGTATCAAAAGTGATTCTTGGTGATGTACACCCAAGATTCAGAATCATGCTCTAGAGGTGAGTGGGTGAAGCAAATGGAGATCCCCACAAAATAGATGTTCTTTACCTTGGCTATGCATTAGAATCACCAAGAGAGCTTTTAAAATGCAAGAATACCCATGCTGGCCCCTGTCCCAAAAATATTCTTTAAATTGGTCTGGAGTGGATCCCTGACATAAGTAAATTTCTAGAGGTCCCCAGGGGATTCTGATAGTGAGCCAGGATTGAGAAATTTTGCCATAAGGAAACTCAGCATTCTCAACCTTAACTACCTAAGATCACCCAGAGAACTGAAAGCAAAAGAAATCACTAGTGGGACTGGGGCTGTTCTGATTTAATTTTCTGGGATGGGATAGGGACATACATAATTTTTTAAATTCCCCCACTTGATTTGAAAGCATAACCATGACTGTACTATAGCCACTATTGTAGAAGATGCCAGGTTGGTACCTTTGAAGATTTTCTTCTGTTGATTGCAGATTTTATACACCTGGGTTTATATAGCTTTTGCCTTCCTGATAAATTTCATTCATAAATTTCCTGAGTAACATTTTGAGACAGTAATCCTTGAAGTGTTGTCTCTGCACTGGCAGCATGCGCCCAGCCTGAGTACTTACTGGAAATGTAAATTTTCAGTTTCAACCCAGATGGTCTGAATAAGAAAGGGTGGGTTCCAGTAATCTGTGGTTTGTAGCAAGTTCTCTAGGTGATGTTACCAAAGCTTGAAAACCACTTTATCTTGAGGCATTTAGGTCTTGATTCTAAGGCAGAAACTGCCACTGTCAGCAGTAAACAGCAAATGAGGGCTATCTTTTGAGTTAGGAACTGGTCTGACAGTTCTTTTAGGTTCCCTCAGGGCACTACAGAGGATCATTGTGGCCTTCGTGCAGGTCCATGACCAATAAAGTTATCCTTAGAAACTACTATAACCTCCATTTTAGTCCTATTCATTTAAATTGCACTGGATTCTTATAGTAGATAGTGACAGCCCATTATTGCAAGATTAGAAATGGTAATGATGATGATAACTGATTTATTTAGTGCTGATGGTATGATTGGCATTCCAGAAGCACTCTGCATATACCAACCCATTTAACTTGTGACTATCCTGTAAGTTAGGTATGTGATTATGCCCATTTCCAGAGGAGGAAACTGAGGCACAGCCAAGCTGTGTAATTTACCCCAGTACGTTAAGTGCATTTGATCAGAGGCAGCCTGGTTCTCCAGATCCATGACAGTCTACGTCTGAATTTCCTATAAAAAAAAGAAAGTAAAACTTCCTTTCCTTACAGGTGAAATCAAATAGATAGAAAAGGAAAATAGTTGGTTCTTGCATAGGAAGCTTGAATGCAAGATAAATGCTTATGAATCCTTTTGATTTTCTTCTGCAGACCTGGCCCACTGTCATGCCTACCTGGTGGAAATGAGCCAGCTCCTCCAAAGTATGGATGTCCTGCATCGGACATACTCAGCTCCAGCTATCAATGCCATTCAGGTTAGCCAGGTCCTTCTTCTGCTTACATTCTGTCACTCTTCTGCTCTCCTTTCTTTTCCCCAGCCTTTTACTAACACTAGGATGTTATCTAGTTGGTTGCTTGAGCCATTTGCAAGGGATGGAGGTGGTCACTTCGCTGTGCATTTATCCCTACTGGTTTGGTGGACCTTACTGTCTGTGCTCTCTTTCCTATTTTGAAACAAAGGGTGGAGCTTTTGAGAGTCCCAAAAAGGAAAAAAGATCACACAGGAGGTGGCGGTCCAGAGCTATTGGCAAAGATGCTAAAGGAACCCTGCAGGTAACCGTTGCTTTCCCCAACGGGTTGGTTTCTTCATTGGCCCTGCTCTGCACATCAAATGCGGGTGCTCGTTGGATTCAAATAAGAGAATAGACAAATATTCTGTAGTTACTCTCTTACCCTCAGGTACAGAGAGGCTATCACTTAGATATTTTGGGTAGTAGAATAAGCATGTAACAGATACTGGGGAGGGGAAAATGACTGCAGCCATTTCTAGAATGTTGATTTCCCCTTCTGTAGTGCTTAGCCTGCTGCCTGCCTCTTCCCTGCTGGGGTGTGTGCCTTGTTTTGTGGCTGTGGTGGTGGCGTGCTCTGACCCACCTCTTCTGCTGGGGATCAGTGGATCCATCATCTCTCAGAGCCCACTGGTCAGAGGCTCTGGGGTTAGGTCATCATGCAACCTTCCTCTGTCTCCTCTCTCCAACCTCCCGGTCCCCATCAGGGTGTCATTCACTGTGTCCCCCTGCCGCTGACTTCCTCAGTGCACAGCTGAGCCAGGGGTCAGAATAGGCAGCTGGATCATTGTATATTAAATTGTGATGACATTTGAGTCAAATAAATCAGAAACTTACAGATAAATAATCTGCTATCCTCTTTGGTTCAAAACATTTTATGAGTTGAACTTAAATACTTTCAAAATAGTGATTTGTGTTCGTATATGTGATAAGTCTGCTTTGAAGAAGCACCAGGTACAAATAACGAAAATATTTTTAGGGCCTCCCTGGTGGCGCAAGGGGTTAAGAGCAACCTAAGAAGCTGTCTACAGCCACTGCAGCACAAGTTCGAACCCCCAGCCAGCCAGGGAGATACCCACATGGTGCTGCAGACCTCTCCTGGCTTGCCCGCTGCTCCCCTCAGCAGTGTATTTCTGTCAGTCTGTCTGTTCTGTTCCCCACTCTGTCTCTGGTGAATCCTTTCACCCCTCGCACCTCTGTCCTGTACCCCAGTTCTTGTATGTGTAAATAAATAAATCTTTAAAAAAAAAAAGAAAATATTTTTAAACCTGTCCACTATTAACAACCTAGAGACTGAATGATTATTGCCAGGAAGTAGGAATTGGGTATAAAGGAGGAAAAATCTGGCAGCATTCATTGTCATGTTCAACCTATAGCTTGAACGCTTCTATCATTTCTGCAAGAACTTGTGATTTCTCACCCATTTTTATTTTGCAAGAAGCCAATGTAAGTTGCTTTAGAAAGTGTTTTCCTGAATTTTCACTATATTTTTGTCTTAAGTTATTGCTCAATGAGAAGACTTACCTATAAAATGTTTTTCTCTTACTACTTTTTAAACTTAGAACCAAGTAAAGAATGATACACAATTTGTACCTGAAAAGGAATATCTTCTTTTAATGTCACTTCAGGTCCCTAAGCCTTTTTCTGGCCCCGTAAGACTGCATTCCTCCAATCCTAATTTGTCAACACTTGATTTTGGAGAAGAGAAAAATTATTCTGATGGTTCTGAAACCTCATCAGAGTTTTCTAAAATGCAAGAAGATCTGTGTCTTATTGCCCATAAAGGTAAATGAGTTTTCTTTCTTCCTAATGTGTTTGGTGAAATTATGAAATGCATGTCTGAGTATAGAATGTTCTTGGATAAGGAATCTTAGTTCATTTTCTGCTTTAGTAAGATTTTGGACAACATAATTTTTTATTTTATGGCCCTGATAGTAAGGAGTATGTTGGCAAGAAGTTCCCTTTAAGCCCTTGGGAAAGAGAGTGAGAGCATTAGGCATACTTTAAAAGCTGAGTGGCTCATATGCTGCTGACGGGGGTGTAAATTGGTATTTTTCAAGGGTAAATAGTATTATGTTTCAACTATATTTTAAATCTCCTTATCCAGCAATTCTAATTTGAGGAATTTGTAAGCATTACTTTACATTGTATCCAAATGAAGATATCCGTTATAGCATTCTCATACCAAAAATTAGAAATATATGTTCAGGCATCATTCGCCATTAAGAAAATGTAAATTGTGGGCCTCCATGGTGGTGCAAGGGGTTAAGCACAGCACTATGAAGCTATCCACAGCCTCTGCCGCACAAGTTCGATCCCCGGCCAGGGAGCTACCCACATGGCGCAGCAGACCTCTCCTGTCTTGCTGACTGCTTCCCTCAGCAGTGTATTTCAGTCAGTCTGCCTGTTCTGTTTCCCACTCTGTCTCTGGTGAATCCTCTCACCCCTTGCATCTCTGGTCTGTACCCCAGTTCTTGTATGCATAAATAAATCTTCAAAAAAAGAAAATGCAAATTGAAGCCACAATGAAATATTACTATGCACCTATTAAAATAGCCCAAAAAAATAGATAATACCAAATACTGTTGAGGATATGGAGAAACTGACTCTCTCATACACTGTGGATGGCAATGCCAGATAATTTAGCCATTCTGGAAAATAGCCTGGCAGTTTCATATAAAACTAAATAGGTACTTACCATACAACTCAGCATTCACATTCCTGGATATTCATTACAGAGAAATAAAAACTTAAGTGCACATGAAAGAGTGTACACAAAATGTTGAGAGCATATTTTGTTTTTGTATTAGCTAAAGACTGGAACAACCCCAGTGACCTTCACAGATGAATAGTTAAACACTGTGGGTCATCCAAAAATAGAATACTACTCAACAATAAAAAGAAACAGTCTGTTTGCAATCACAACAACATGATGGGTCTCAAGGACATTATGTTGAGTACAAACAGGCAATCTCAGGAGACTGTCTGGTACATGGTTCCACTTAAGTAGCACTTTCAAAGAGATAAAATGATAGACATTAATAATAGTTGTCAGGAGTTAGGGACAGGCAAGAAGGAAAGAGAAAAAGTCTGGTATCATTATAGGGGGATAGCAAGAGTGATCTTGGTAGTGATGAAAAGTTCTGTTTGCTGATCCTGGTGGCAGTTCCTTGAGTTTACACAAGTGATAGGATCAGGAAACACAAGTGATAAAATTGCACTGATTTACTTATATACTCAAGTGAGAGTGTGCAAAACTGGTGAAGTCTGAATGAGAACTGAAGATTATACCAGCATCATTTTCATGGTTTTGATATTGTTCCATAGTTAAGAAAGATGTTATACTGCAGGAAACTGGATATAGGTACCCAGGACTTTTCTGTACTATTTTTGCAACTTCCTGTGCATCTCTAACAATTTCAGAAAAAGGGCTTTAAAAATTAGAAATAACCTAAATGCCCAACAATAGAGGTTTGGGTATTTTTTTGAAATACCCACATATAGAATACTCAGAAGCCACAGTAATAATAATGGTCACCTTATGTAAGCACATAGCTGTAACATCAGGTATTTGCTAAGTACTTCCATGCATTGTTTCATTTAATTCTAGCAGCAGCCCACAGAGTAGTTGTTATTGTTATCTCCATTGAACAGATAAGAAACCTGAGACATAGAGAAGCAGAAGAATTCCCTGAGCGTCATGTGGTAGAAAGTGGCCAACCTGAGACTTGAGTTCTCACCTGTCTAACCCTGGAGTCTGTGCTTCTCACCTGATGTCTCTCTGCCCTTGCAGATGGGGTGACCAGAGATATTTTAGAAAGATGGTGACAACATATCAGTGAATACAGATATCAGGCCACAAAATTGCATACAAGTATGAATCTGCTTTTTGGAAAAAGATATTATTTGTCTATCGCGCATATGTAAGCATACTGAAAAGTCAGGAAGGATACACTCCAGCAATCTAGTGATGGAGGCTGGAGTTATAAATACTTATTCTCTTCTTTCTGCTATTTTTAAATGTTATATGTTTATCTTTTTTGAAGGAGAAAATGGGTTAATTTTCCCCCTTTTCTTAGTTGATTCCTTGAGCTCTCATTTCCCTTATCCTACAAATCTTAGACATGTTGATTATGAGGTTAGTTTTGAGGAAACAATTTCATGCTTTTTAAATTTTCACCTCAAACTCTTGTCCTGGCTACCATTAGGACTTTATCAGAGTTTCACAATGCTGTTGTATGACCCATCTGTAAAATGGGAGAAATTACCTGCCCTGCTCCTAAAAAGCTCTTCAAACACCTCCTTGTGTGTTCTCTAGCATTGCAAGGTCAATTGTAACTAGGGCATTGCATTTTAGGTTTTGTAGAATGAAATTCCTATGGAACATCTTAACTTTTTAATAATATGAACAGTCTTTTCTAAAAGGAGGAGGTAGTATCTCCCTGCGGAAGGGGAACATCCTGAATTTTGCCTGTATTGGAGAAACTGGACAGAATTTGCCATATTGAGTTGATCCAGTCGATTCAGTTGTCCCGCACAGGGCTTAGCCTTGTCAAAAAATCTATAATGGGCCTCAGCCAGCTGATCTATATTTTGGGCTTTGTGAAAAACAGCTGGCTGTAGAGCTGCCACCTTACCTAGATTAGGTTAAGGTTTGTGCTGCAAGAAACGTCCAGATGCACCAGCCTGTGCCCTGCAGCTTATAGATGGCAAATTCACCACGATTCTTAACAAGCTGAGATCCAGTCCTGTGCTTTTAAAATACGCTTGCAGAGACGGAAACATATCCCTCTTCCTGTTGCAAGGAGCCCCTGTACATGGGCTGTAATTCAAAGGCCTCATAGAGAGAGAGTTCTCACGTTTGCCCTAGGTCGTGTGACTTTGTGTGCTTCCTTACTTCAAGGTCAAGATCATTCAGAATCTTGACATTTCTTCCTGTGTAAGCCTGATTCAGTCACCTGCAGTTGCCAGTGTACTTTCTTCACAGCATTACTCACTAATCTAGTGACTGTGATTCCAGAGCAACTGACCATAGGCAGAATTCCACTGATGCTGTAACTTAGTCTACACTACCTACTTTTTCTTCAACTTGTTAAATGCATCTCAATGCTTTCTGTTTTATAGAACTTAGATCAAATGGCAGGCAACCAATAAATACCTGTCCTAAATTTAAAGTCCTTGTTATATATTATAGACTGTAAGGGGGTATAGCTCAGGGGTAGAGCATTTGACTATAGACTGTAAAGTTCACTTTTTGATGTATTATTGGACTCATTCTCAAACTTGTTTATGTGTCTGAACTTGTTTGTATATTGACACACATGTAAGCTAAAAAGAAATGTACTGAAACATGAAAGTTGTAAGTAATTTTCATTGTATATATTAGCTTTTACATTTCCCAAAATGTATATCATGGAACACACTACCCATAAAATGCTTTAAAAAATGAAAATAATTTCATGATAAAAAGTGTTCGGAAACGCTGCTGACTGTGGCCCTCTTTGGATTTACGTGGGAAAAAACAGTAAATATCAAAGGCCCTAAGAAGTCCTGCAGCCAGGAATCGTTAGGTTTGTTTAACTCCTTGATGTTCATGCTGTTTGGGAAACTTGCTCCCCCTTCTTCTCTAACAGCTGTTAACACCCTGGAATTAAAGTTCTTGAAAAATATACTTTAGAAAACATTGACAGCAGAAGACTTAGCAGAAGCCAAGCCAGAAGTTCTAGGCACCTGTTACTGACTGTGGAGTTGTGATCTCATGGCTAACCTCTTTGGGCTCAGTTGCCTCATCTGTGAAGTTTCCTAAAGTAGTTCTGACTCCCTTCGCCCACAAATTCTGTAATTATCTTTCATGAAAGATGTAGTTCTTTCATGAAAGAAATAATTTATATTGGACTGAAAGAATAATTTATATTGTTGAGATTGTTAAAAGAAGGCCCTATGAGAGGATGTTCTGTTGGTAGCAGATATAAAAATGACTGAATATGGTGGGGAGCTTTGATGTGCTTTGACAGCACAGGATCAAAATCAGGGTCTCTAAATGGAAATGGATATTTATGTTCTAACATGGATGGAAATAAATGAGGTTTTATGGATACTTTTCCTGATCTCCAGAAGGTATTTTTGGCGAGAGAAATTCACATTTAGAAATGTGAAAGTTAGGAGTAAAACAACATTTAACAATATTTCATTATTTAGTATTCTTTTGTTCCTGAATTCTTTTCCTGTGTTGGGCTTTAATTGTTGAGTGGTCATTTTCTGAACTGTTTTGAGCTGATGGCAGCACTGAATAAAAAGCAAAGTATGTCACGATGACATCACTTAAAAGCTAAATGGTATATATGACTTTTGAAAAGCCAGAACATTATTTCTCAAACATAATTTAGAATTCAGCATAATATCTGCTGAGCCATTGTACTTACGCAGATTATCAATACATCAGTAGAACAATTTAAGTGAATTACCTAGTACAAATTATCTAATGTAACTAAATAAAAGAGACATTTGGATAGACGATGGGTTGGAAGTATTTTAGAACTTCATCCTGTGAGTTTTGAAAATTAGAGAAAGCAGATTACAGAGGATCAGATCATCCTAGATATTTTAAGTATGTTAACATTTTAAAGAAAATTCACAAAATGTGGTTTTCACTAAAAAGAGAAAAAGAAAAAGAAATCCTGCTGTGGGTTAGGTGCTATTCAATAGCATGTTTTCTCACTGTTTCCTTAAAGCACTCTTGAGATATGGGCATTATTCACACATGCAGATGTGGAAACTAAGAATTT